ATGGTCAAATAAGATCACAAGATAGACAGATATCTTCCATTACTGTGAAATATTTGATTGACACTGGCCATAAGGTCGATATCAAGTTAGCATTTGTAATGTTGTACAAAAGCCTTCAAGGGTGTATACTAAGATTTATTGAAGCCTTGGCTATACGGAAATTGCAAACTCCCTTTATGTGTTCAAAAACAATTTACTCTTACACTTAACCTACCTTAGTAATACTGATTTATTATCCAGAGTGGTTATCACATTGGTTTTGTCTACTTTATTTTTCTTTCTTACGGTTTATCTTCAATCTGTTTAGTTGACCTTTTAGTTTTCATATAAAAGTGTCTTAATAATCAATTATTTAATATTTGAATACATGAGTCAATTAAAGCTAGACCACTACGAAAAACCTGGAAGTACTGAACGGCCGTTTCATCCTAGAATGAGACTCCTGAGCAATGCTTATCCATGATCCGATTTGCAGGACTCGAACCCAGGGACTTCGGTCTCTCGCGAGCGCTTAACTTCTAGATCACTGAGCTGGCCGATATTCAACTGTGTTAATGTCTGACATCAACCAATCCACGAAATTAAGGGGCCATCCACCATTGTCTTCACTGAGTTACTGCCACAAAACCCCTTTCTGATAATAATCATCATGTGCTCACTAATGACTGGCTTCAAGAGGTATTTCCTGAAGTTCTAGTGAGAAGCCGTGACAAGTGGATTTTAACCGTGTCTGTTGTGAGACAGTTACTCACTGAAGACAATAGTCGACGGTCGCGTAATTTCGTAGATTGGTTGAAGCTAGATATTAACAACGTTGATTACCGGTTCAGTCGTCTAGGGGTTAAGTGATCGCATGCAGGGTGAGATGTTCCCCAATCTCCAATATAACAGAACACGAACCGTTAGATGAAAGTTGTTTATGGGGTCAGGAGAATAATAATAATGCATATTTATACAGTTAGAACTACTGTGAATATTGACCAACACGAAAATGACATGTGAAATAAATATTGACCAATAGGAAAATAACACCATTTCACGTTCAAGGATATCATTAGACTTAACAGGATAATTTTCGGGATATTTTTCTGAATATCCCAACACACGTGTATACAACCACGGTCACGCAAGTCCCACTCAATGTCTTCTAGAACTACGGGTGTTGTTTACAAAATCGAGAGGACGAAAAGTGAATGTCCGGCAAGGGATTTAACCGGGTTGGCGCATATGGATGATCCACCTAAGGGAGTTGGAAAGTCCTCATTCCAAACCAATGTTGCACATTAGATCCAAGATCCTAAGGAAACAAACGGTGTATGAACGTATTGTTGTTCACCGGCTACCATGGGACTGCATCTCCTCACAATGCTCCACTGCCTTGTGAACTAGACAAAAACTATTTTATCAATGATAAACAATCTTTAAACTAGAATACAACACAATCATTTAAATCTACCTCGTTATTTTGCTATAGTTCATCTATCAAAAAAAAAAAAAAAAACTGTAGAAAAAAGAAGAAAAATCAAAACTTCAAATAATCAAACAAAATCATTTATGAAACTTCAAAAGATGAACTGAACAAGTTATGCTATGTTATATTATCAAAATAAATAAAATCACATTTTTCTACTTTATATAATCTTCAAATTACATCACATAACTAACACTATTCATCTTAAGTTCATCAGTGAAGATTATTACATTGTTAGTTAATTGATTCAATATAACCTTGTTTAGAAAAAAAAAAGTTCAAATAGGGTAGGTCAGTCAGTCAGCTACAACGTAGGACCAGGCACATATATGCATCGGTCCAAGTTGCCATACCTCACTCATTAGCACAACAAAATGAACACCGGATTCATAGAAGTAGTTAATTCAATGGTGGTCATACATAGAAGAAAAATTGCATATAGGGTAAGTATATAGTTCGGAAAAACTACCAATGTCTTTTTTTGTAACATTACATAACAAAACCGTATTAAAATCAATACAGTTTTTTTTAGGTCAAATTAAAAGATTGATTGTGTATGTCATTTCGTATAGAATATATAGTTTTCTTTTCTAAATTTATTTATATAGGCTCAAAAATCATAAGTAATCGTTAATTAAAGTGAATAGTATCCAACGGTAGGCACTAGGATGCGCGCATCATCTCAAATTGGGCTCGTCAGTTCAATTCACCTGTGTCATAGAGTTCATGTTCACACTAGGACTAGAATCCAGAAACTTTCGTTTCAAACACCCCAATACCTTACCTATTGAGCTATTGATTTTAGAAATGCAATCATTTGTGCAACAGTGATGAATTTTATGATCTATTTGAATCTCTTTGTTCTTGTTATTGTTAAGGTTTACATTCCGATCAATCTCTTCTGTAACATGTATGCCCTAGGTGAACTGCCTCGAAAGATACTGGATTATATTCTCAGAGTAAACACCAACATTAAGTTAAAGGGACAGTGAGCTGAAGAGCCTTAAACAAGACGAAACGCCTGCTCTGGATTCCATTGTTAGTCACTAACCATCATCAATTAAATACTTATGACTTAATGGTAACACCTAAAAAAGAAACTGAACCAGTTGTGATCTTATTGTCCTTAGAGAGTGACAACAAAGCAGAACTGAAAATCCCCGTATATTGGACAATATGATATCGCTCTTCAACCGACCCGCTTGACATTGTAAGATGTATAGACAAAAGTATTCATATTGAGATGGTTCGATTTAGTCATTGCAATAGGCAATCCCGACCACCATCTCAAAGTATTAGCAACTATAGTTAATTTTTTTGTCAAGTGCTCACAATCAATAAAACATACACAAGACCATTCCTGTTATATGTAAATAAAGCATATTCTTCTCAATAGATTCTCATTAGGTTCTACAATACTAGATTCAAATTGATATTCTAAAGAGATAGCCAATTTCGAGGTAAATACATTTGCCAAATATGTTTACATTTAAGTCGCAAACTAATCAATTTCAGCGAAACTCTAAATTGATTAAACAATAAAATAGTTATTACAACTTCATTTTGAAATTGTACATCATGTCTGTAGAAAACAAGACAGGCAATAACATATATCACTTGTCAGATGGTTAGAGGTAGTCGACGATAAACCATGGACCTAGATTTCGTTCCAGCTTTCACTCATTGTCGATAACTAATCAAACAGTCAGTTATAATCTACGTTTAACCGGACATAAATGTGCATCGACTTAAGTATCTAATATCAGAAATTTTAATACGAACATCAACACAGTCCTAATGTACGAAGATAAGACTTAAAGAGCTACTACAACCATTATCAAAATAGTACAAGTATTTATAAACAAATGTCTACGTAAGATACTCAATGTCATACATTACGGAAATTATCAAGTGCTTGCTTGGAATCCTGAAGAGAAGAAGGCCAAGGAACACACTGTATCAGGAATTGGAAGAAGACATGAAAAGGATGAATAATGACTGCAAACAACTGGAAAGGATTGCGCAGAACGGGGTTGGATGAAGAATGTTGGTGGGTGGCCTATGCTCCTCCATGAGAGTAAGTAAATACGAAGAAATGGATTTGGAAAGGTAAATATCGAAAGAATTGAAATAATGTAACAAGAACAATAATCAGAAATACTGTACAATGAAAATATAAGGATGGAATGAAAGGGTATGTGTGGAAGAATAGGGAACCCTATTGTGAAGTGCGGTGTTCGAGAATTGATATTGATATGCAATTTTTCTATACAAGAGCTTAAATACTCAGGAAAAAAGATAGAGTGAGGAAAAATAGTTTATTTGGCCGAACTGAATCGATTATATATGATGTCCCTTAGGAAATTAAGTCTATCAGTGGTTTATGTTTCATCCATTGAAATGAAAGTCGCTTCTCAGTCAGTCACATATACTTGTAAATTGCTGATTTCTGATTAAACCATTGTATCACCTTTCACTCCCGAAAAATAGGTCTACCTTTATGATTCAATTGAAAGCAATGAGTTGTGCACATATTAACCTCAAAATCAATAACAAAACGAACAGTAAATAGATCAGAGCCAATGTAACCTAAAGCCATCAACAACTAATCGTGATTATCATGCGGACCCCAAGCAAGTAATCTGCATCTATCGATATGAATCAAGCTAATAGAAAATAACTTAAACGTTAATGGAATTCGATCAGCACTAAGCATTAGAAAAATATGACCTTGGTCACTACTCCATGATCAGTCAATCTCCAATAATAGCTTGTCCAATTCATTTCTATAAATTCAAACTCTTGTTTTTTAAAGTAACCAATACAAACCATCATTCCAAATTTACTGATTTACCAATCGTCAACGGAACTCATACGACAAACTACAGTGCAAAGTGGTGCATGGAGGACAGCTGACAGATGCGTTCCAAGTACGGACCGGAGTCAGACAAGGCTGTCTACTGTCTCTTTTCCTCTTTCTTCTGTTGGTCGACTGGATTATGAACACCTCAACATCTGAGGGAAAACACGGCATACAATGAACAGCTCATAACCAATTAGACGATTTAGACTTCGCAGATGACCTAGCCCTCCTATCGCATACACACGAACAAATGCAGATAGAGACAGCCAGTGTAGCAGCACTATCTGCATCAGTAGGCCTCAACATAAACAAAAAAAAACAAGGTCCTCAAATACAACACGAAGAACAGCAATTCAATCACACTTGATAGCGAAATTCTGGAAGATGTAGAATCCTTCACATATCTTGGAAGTATAATCGACAATCAAGGAGGATCAGATGCAGACGAAAGGCGAGGATTGGGAAAGCAAAACAATACATTACGTCGGGAAATGGAAGCAGATATAAAAAGAGTGAATAACAACTAGAAAGATCTGGAAAGGACTGCTCAGGGCAGGGCTGGATGGAGATCGCTGGTACGCAGCCTATACTAGTCTACGAGGAGTAACAGGCGTAAGTAAGTAAGTAACGGATTCAATTATAATTACCTCAAAAATTTGAAGTTATCATCACACACACACTCTCTCTCTCACTGACAGCTTAATCATTTCTTGAGTCACTTACAAAATAAAAGTCCCGATTAAAAAGAAACGACAACAAATTACCTGTATATACATTAAAATCAATTAAAATAATCATTTATTTATTATATTATCAATGAGTACATTCGATAAAATAGCTTCAGTTGTTAATGCATTTTGATTATATTCATATGCTGTTGTTGGTATATATCTCCATTTACGTATAGCTCGATCAACTGCTCTATGAGTTAATAGATCACCATTAAGTAAAATTTCAATTTTTTGATGTTTACTAAAATTTTTACTTGATTTATTAACAAGATGAGGTAGAATGAGTGAAAATAATGAACCTAATTTTGGAACAGTATTAAGAGTTACTAATGATTGATTTGATAATTGATTATTTAATGAATTTATTGCTAAACAAAATGTATTCTTTGTTTCCATTACTACAATACCTTCTATACCAGCCTAAAATATAAAGTAAAAAAAAACAAAAACAAAAACAAAAGAAATTGAACTATAAATATGATGATAAAAATAATCACTAGAAAAGGTAAAGAGTGTTTGTTGAAACTTTGGCAAGACTAGAAGTTATGGACGAATCAATCAGATTTAAGATAGCATGTTTTATATTTTGGCCTGAGATTTATTCACTCATTTTAGCATTATAGCCCCCAAATGCCCTGGTATGGCTAAGAGTGGGAAGAGTCCGCTCTCCCTCTCCTAATGCTCTCACGTGGCCACGCGTATATAGCCTCTGACAGGGAAGTCTTACTCACTACCTTCTCGCACCACGGGTGTTGTTTACGAAATCGAGAGGACGAAAAGCGAATGTCCGGCGCTTTAACCGGGTTGGTCGACACGGAGAGTCCACCTGGGGGAGTTGGAAAACTCTGATTCAAAACCAATCGTGTACATTAGCTCCAGTATCCTGAAGGAACAATTGGCGTATGAACCAATCGTTGGTCACCTGCTACCATGGGACTACATCTCCTTATGATGCTCCACTGCCTTGTGAACCAGACCTTTAGGTCGAAGGCTCCGAGTGTGGGCCCCTAAGAAAACCACCTGCTTCGGACTGGGCATCCAGGCAGTATCACAGCCCACACATAAAGAAAATGAAAATTTGTGTGGCGCATTGATATTTAGTGCTCTCTTGTATCAATATTTATGTGTTCAAATAAATAAATAATAAATAAATTTAGCCGTAGTATGTAGATGGAGATTGTCAAGTCCTTTTTAGAGTCGTTCAAAGGTTGTCTATAAATTATAGGTCCACCTGAGACTTTTAATTGTTTAAACAAGCAAAACTATCTTATACTGATAACCCTGAGCAACTTATTTGCCAATCAGAATACAGTACTTAGTCATAATATCCAGTCAGAAAGAATTTTCGTAAGTTGAATTACTTTTAAAATAAGTGTAAGAAGATCAGGATTAGGAATTTGAAGTCAAGATTAAGGTGAGAAATGACGGTTATGGAGTTGGAAGAATATTTTCCATTCACATAAACACCCCTAAATATACCCTGAATCATATCAAGTACGTTTAAGGAGTATTTACAGCGTTTCAGATCTACTTGTATTGCTATCCGGTTTTTCTTATAATGTAACTTACGCATTACAATGCATTGGTTGCATAACAGATACGTTTATCAACTTTTCAGCATCTTTGTAATTAAATGCAAATATCATTTAATTAGTTTTTATTAAGACACAATATATCTATCACTATGTGCGATCTTAAATCTGATCGGTTCGTCAGTATAGCATAGTTTCACCATCTAAACTAACAACTATATGATTAATCAAGAAGAGTACTCGCTTCGGCGATACATATACTAAAATTGGAACGATACAGAGAAGATTAGAATGGCCCCAGCTCTGATGGATGTAAGTAATGGTGGTGTGGATCTGTTGCCTGGAGAAAGACTTCTCGACCTTGAGTATGCGGATGATATTGTCTTACTGTGCGAGAATGCCCAAGCTATACAATCCGCACTTAATCAGTTGACAATCAATGTCCGTAGGTATGGTATGTGCTTCGCACCCTCGAAGTGCAAAGTACTTCTACAAGACTGGCATGATTCTAATCCTGTACTCACTCTGGATGGTGAGCAGATAGAAGTAGTCGAGAAGTTCGTATATCTAGGTAGCTGCATAAGTGCTGGTGGTGGTGTGAGTGATGAGATCAATGCACGTATAGTGAAAGCCAGAGCGGCTTATGCCAATCTGGGCCACCTTTGGCGCCTTCGTGATGTCAGTCTGGCTGTAAAAGGTCGGATCTACAACGCGTCGGTGAGAGCAGTTTTGCTCTTTGCTTGTGAAACCTGGACTCTCCGAGTTGAGGATGTTAGACGACTCACTGTGTTCGATCATCGCTGTCTTCGAAGGATTGCTGACATTCAGTGGCAACACCATGTTAGTAATACAGAGGTTCGGCATCGTGTGTTCGGGCACAGAGACGATAATGCAATTGGTGTCACCATCTTGAAACACCAACTCCGGTGGCTTGGACATGTCCTACGAATGTCGTCCCAGAGAATTCCACGTCGTGCATTATTTGCCGACTCTGGGACTGGTTAGAAAAAGCGGAGAGGTTGTCAGTAGTATATGACATGGTGTCACGGTATGAAACAAAGCTGCAAAGGGCTGGCTTGTGATGGTCCTTCACGACTCCCTGGCTGGTGTCCGAGAGATGGTGTAACACAGTGGCTAGAGACGTTATCAGATATGGCTCAGAATAGAAGCCAGTGGCGATCCTGCTGTAACCTTGTTTTACATTCTTCATACAAAGTAGTTGCTTCTTCCTTAACTGAAAGATTTCTTCTGATTGTACCTTTCCGTTTCCCCTATTATTGTTCTCTCTCTCTCTTTTTTTACAATTCCCTACGTTCTTTACCTTTTTTCCCTTCTCTTTAAATTCTCATTATTTTGTGTGGCGCATATATATTTGGTGCTCCCCTGTACCAATATTTATGTGTTCAAATAAATAATAAATAAATAACGAAAGATGCATCCTGAGTTACGTCGTTACCCTTCATTTAAAATATATTCAATAAGATACATTTATAAACTGTTTATATTATAAAGTATCGCTGATCTATATGGGCTTCTCAATAATTTAATAACAGATGCTGTAACTTGTGATGATTACTGAAAACTGATAATGGATGATCTTACGACAGAGAGGATGAATTCCATAGTGTTTATCGCAAAGCTACACAATTAAGCAGTTAATCGTGTAAGAGATCCTAAATGCACACAGCTGATATGTTTTTAAATAATCAATGCTCTATGTTAATCTTTAACTTAGTATTAATTCATACTTCTTCATTCACTGATTATATCTGTTCACTTCGAGCACATATTTTTTAAAATTTAATTTGCAACTATGATTGACATCCTCATATCGACTTCTTTCCTATCCCTATCCTGTCAACACACCGCCCCCCCCCCTTCTTTAGCCATTGTAGGATATTACAACTTGAATGGAAACATATTTGTGCTAGGGTATACATTTGCAATAAATGACTGATGAAACATCTTTCTGAGATGGTGAAGATGTATTGCTCAGGTGGATGATTTTGATGGAATTTTGTTCTCTAAGCTGGATGGTATGACTATGAAGCTTTCATCATTCTTCTGAACAACATCATCATCACTACAAACTTCAGGTAGAAGTGTAGAGTTCGAATTTCTCCATATGTGATTCACAGCTTGTCCTGTACACCTCGATGTTGATTGGTTCTTGTTGACCCTTTTAACACCTATCATCATTGTTTACTTCATTGTTTTGGTTGTATCTCCCATTGGTTTGATTTTTACTCCTATGTTTGTGTACACTTCACCTCTACCTGAAGTTTGTAATGTTGTTGTTCAGAAGAACAATGAAAACTCCACAACCAAATCATCCAGCTCAAAGAACAAAACTTCATCAGAAAAAACCTTTCTAGTCTTTATAGATCATTAACTGATATCAGCCTATGATAGGAAATCAAATCATGATATAATCAACTACAACTTCTACTTACTCGACATGATGTTGAACGTAGAACTTTAAGTTGAGCACCAATTAAATTTAAACGTAAAATTGTATCTAAATTTTTTGTTAAATTAAACATACTACAATGATTATTATTTAATTTAGTAGGAAGAATAGACATAACTGATTGGAAATAACCATTCCATAAATGATGTAATTGATTTGATAAATCAATTGATATAATCGATGGTTTATGATTGATTATTGATTTATTGAATGATTTCTTTTTTAAATGAAGACGGTTCATTTTGATAATAGGGATATCATTTTTGTTAGTGATTCGTTTATGTTTTAATAAATGAATTTTTGTTGATTGTGGTAATAAATTTATATTATGACTAATATTAGAACCTGGACGCCAATATAAATCAGATTGATTACGTTGATTTTCATCAACATGACGTCGAACAAATTGTCGAACAAATTCACTAACAACAGTTATTCCTTGTGAAGGATTTGGTTTAGATACAGGCTGTTTTGATTGTTGATGTTTGTATTTTTCTGATAGTTTCTTCTTTGTCATATTAGAATGTAACAATTCTGCTATAATCAAAATGATAAGATATAAAATTTTAGATATTTATATTATTCAATGTTATCAAACATTAAAAGTTCCATTCCTTGATAGGAGACGTCAGTAGATACACGCACACACATATGCACAAATACGTCAATCACTATAGGATTTGAATTGACAATTGTATCTGTGTACTAATGTGGTATGGCAACTTGAACTGATGTATGTACGTACGAAGTTCTATGTTGTTACTGACTGAAAAACACGTCAATTCGTAATCAAACACTGGTAACAATTATTACTATTTTATTTATTAATTTTAACACATAGATATTGGTACAAGGAGGCACTAAATACATATGCGCAACACAGATCTCATTTGATATGTGTGAGGGTAGTGATACTGTCCGGGTGCCCGAACCGAACCACGTGGTTTTCTTAGGGAGCAACATCCCGAGCGTTCGACCTAAAGGTCTAATCCACAAGGTAGTGGAGCATCGTAAGGAGATGCAGTCCCATGGTAGCCGGTGACCAACGATTGGTTCATACGCCATTTGTTCATTCAGGATACTGGAGCCAGCCCATGTGCACCATTGGTTTGGGATCCGGTTAAAGTGCTGGACATTCGCTTTTCGTCCTCTCATTTTCGTAAACAACACCCGTGGTGCGAGAAGGCAGTGAGTAGGACTTCCCTGTCAGAGGCAGTATACGCGTGGTCGTGTGAGAGCATTTCGAGAGGGAGGGTGGGCCCAACAGAACTCTCGGCCGTACCACGGCATTTAGGGGCGATTACTATTTATTAATAATTAATGTGATGAGCCGGAGATAGATAGATAGATAACATCAGTTAATCGATAATAAGTGTTCAGTATTATACTGTCCAAGTTATGGTTTCTCACCATATCACAATGCAACAATGATTTATTTGAAAATAGTAACATTAAATGCAACATGGTGCCCATGGCAAATGTGAACTGATCCTATATTGTAATAACTTGCAACATTACAGAATGATATAATATACAATATAAGAAAAAGAGGTATGAAAATAATATCAAGTATCCAGGAAAACGAAACAAAATAAGTAAAGATTTTCGGTCATATCATACAATATCATCAAATATAGGCAATAATTGTTTTTGTAGATCCCACTAAGAAATTCTACATAATCTGATACAGTACAGAATAATAGTCAATGTTTATATGGGCTAAATCTATCTCTTAGTTTGACTACCACTAATTTTTGCTAAAAAATATTCTCATCACTGAGAGGATTGTACATTGTGGTAACCAGTAACTAGGCATTCAATCGATAATAATCTTTAGGTTACCTATTCGACCAAACATTTTCCACTTGAACAGTAAGCCTAGCCTCAATTTAAGTCCTTAATAAACATGTAATGTTTCCTAAAAATTTATGACCAATTACTTGTAACCTACATATGTTTTCATTAAATTTTACAGGTATTATATCATTGACATACAGTGAAATAAAGAAGACTGTTAAACAGTAAAATTGCTGATTGATTGACAAAACTAGTAACTCTCCTGAACCACAAGTAACGTGAGCAGATAAAAGATGAGTGATGAAGATAATTTCTAGTTCAGATGGATTATTTTTGATCGAGTTTCATTCTGTGAACTCTTCAAAAAAAAGCCAATATAAAACCTTCATGATCGGATCATTTAACTCAAAGAAGGAAACTCCAGCAAAAAGATGAGTGAGTTTCTTTTTGTATCAGTATAGGGAATTCACCTGCTACCAAATAACAAAAGTTAATGAAACTTCTAAGTGAAATGGAACAATTAATGCCACCGATTACATCATTAATTATATTTTATTGTTTCATAAGAAATAATTGTCAGTATGTTTATGTTTTAAACGCTTGACAACAAAATATTATCGATCACTGGGTTAAAAGAAGATAGAATTACACGTTTCCAAGGTAATTATAAACCTACATCATATAAGAGGAAAAAATATATGGAATTTGATCGTATTGAACAATCGCTCTGTCAAGTCACTAGACATAGGATAACAGAGTTATTTCAATTAATTTAATCATTGAATTCATGAGTAATTTGAAGCTAGACCACCATGGAAAACCTGGAAGCACTGGATGGCCTTTTCATCTTAGTATGGGACTCCTCACCAGTGCGCATCCACTATCCCACCCCGCGAGATCCGAACCCAGAACCTGTCAGTCTCGTGCGCGAACGCTTAACCTTTAGACCACTGAGCCGGCATCAAACAGTGTTAATGTTTAACTTCAACCAACCCACAAAATTGCGACAAAATCCACCATTATCTTAATTGAGTTACTATCCCATAACACGCCTAGTTGAACTCCACTGGTCACGGCTTCTCACTAGAACTCCAGGAAACAACTGATAGGTCTTGAGTTCGAATCTCGCGGGGTAAGAAGAAGAAGAAACGGCTTCTATGTTTTCCATGGTGGTCCAGCTTCAATTGACTCATGAATTCTACACTTAAATTACTACAATCTCTACAAAACCCTCCATAATTATTTTAATTACTTCATCAATGTATTCAATATGCTATCATTTTGTTTTCATATGAGAGTTAATGATATTACTCTGGAACCAAAACAAAAAAATATAACAAGGTTCAAACCTGTATTCTAATGATTGAAAATTGGATGTTTTAACAATGAAATGGTTGAAAATTAGCTAATTAGTAGATTTTAATACCACTCCATATTTATCGATTTCAGGTTCAGGATCAATAGCCATGACAGAAAAATTAGTATGGTTTAAACTAGAGCATTTTTATTATTTACATTGTCTGTTGATTTGTACATTAGTGTAGCAACATTATTGTACAAGGTTTTCTTTTATTTACAATGCCATCTGAGAGTAAGAACAAATTCAAGTTATCAGGTATGACATACATTCTATGTGTGTCTTAAACATGTCCATACACGTCAATATATTGATTTATTGGATAGAGTTATTATATTAATGACTAGATTTACTGAAGGTGTCTGAAAGTAACCTGATTTTGGAAAGTGGAAGTTCGATAGTAGGAGGCTTTTAAAATCTTTGAAGATACTACGACAATAAATCGTTCATTTTATTTATGTTTCTTTGCATATATACAAGGAGAACAATTGGCATGTCTTATGCTTAAAGTGCTTAAAGGTAAATATAGGTTCATAAGAATGAATCGCTTGTAGAAAGTAAAGTTATATTGCAATCGTGAAACGATTAATGTTAAACCAATATTGAAAACCTCAATGCACTTCACGACCGTTTCGTCATAATATCTAACTACTCAACGACGCGCATCCACGATCTTACACGAGTCAATCCAATCCAGGACATTCGGTCTTGTGTGAACGGTCAAACTCTAGACCAATGAACCAGCATCCAATGGTGTTAATGTCTAACTTCAACCAATTCACGATGTCGCGCGATCATCTTCCATTGTCTTTGGTGAATAACTACTTTACACCCGACACAGTTGAACTCCAATCGCATTAGAACGCCAAGAATGACTTCTCGAAGCTACTCACTAATAAGCACATGATAATTTTCAGTTTCCGGTTGTGTTAGATTTCATTTAAATCATGAACACAGTGAATGAGTTGACACTAACCGTTAACAACTTTGGATACCGGATTAGTGGTCTATTGGTTAAGCATTCGCGTAAAAACGAAGGTTCTGCGCTCGATTCCTGAGTGCTGGACCGTAGGTAAAATAGAGAACCGCATCACAAATATATTTTAATTGCTGTTCAATGGATCAAAAGCTTCTGTCCAAAAGGAACGAAATTATTTGTGCATTTGTTACGTCCTGACACGACTAATGAATGGTAACTTCATGGATCCATTTATGGACCAATACTAAACGTATATTTCTATTGTATAATTATTAAGTAACTAAACTATGCATATTCATATTCCTCTTATTATAAGCTTTATTGTGACCCATAAAAAATTATTGTACGCTTTATCATTCTTGAGTTATACCCAGTATATTAATTACTACCTCCCTCATTCACAGCCACATCTGGCTAATTCTTGTACAAATGTTGTTTCCTATTTTATTGGTATGATGTGGTCTGTCCGGTTGGTATATAAACTCAGTATGGTTGAAATACATGATTCATATCGCAGAGGCTCGGATTGGTCTATAAATTTAGACAGTAGATGATTCAGAGTTCAGTTATTACAAACACGAGCAATAGAGATCAATAGGTGTATGTATAGTAGTGTATTTGCTAGCAGATAACAGCGTGTGTCATTCTGTACGTGTAACACGACAGAAGAAAGTGTATTCAAGGTCATACACTTAAACAACATGTACAATCATTTTGTGGTAAATGAACAGACTGTGAAAAATGAACAGAATAAATACAATAATTAACATCAAAAACTATTTACAAAATAAGTCTGTCATGCTTATCTCCACAATGTCAGTTATAGCCCAAACACCTCAGTGGTAACGTCTGAGACAGTGAAACTGGGTGATCCGGTTTCGAATTTATCAGTTCCTTCAAGATTATAGACACATCTTGCTCATGAGAGCCAACTAGAACTAGCACGAAAACTAGTATCAAGGTTTCCAAACGACGACCTCTAATAGCCAGACAATTTTTTTATTAATTCTGTGTAAAATCACTATTTCTTAAATATGGATACATGAAATTCTGTATTTTGTTATTCATAGATCAACTTGACAATAAACGAAATCCAACCAATATAATGGGGTGGTGGCTCAGTGGTTTAGGCGTTCACCTTCTAAACACTAAGTCACAGGCTTAAACCCTGTCTCATCTAATTGCGTTTAAACAACTGAGTAGCACAACTAGCGCTTACATTTAATGTGTCTTGAAACTGAATACAATAATCGTTATCTGGTGAGTTCATTGATAACACTATCTAATTCAGCAACAAATTAAAGGTAGAAAGTATGCTGAAAAATGTACGTTTAGAAATATGTGCTTATTATCAAAACGGAAACAAGTGGGGAAAAATGTAATTAATGGGAACGAAACTCACGTTCAAAGTGAAAAGTAACATTTTACAACAATAACAAATAGATTAATTACCTAGTATAGAGATTTTTAGGGATGTAAAAAACACAGACAGAATGATTACTAATTGCCCCCGAATGCCCTGGTACGGCTGACGGTGGTGAGTGTTAGCTCTCCCACATAGACACGCATATACAGCCACAGCCACGCAAGTCCTACTCACTGCCTTCTCGCAGTGATTAGGAAATCGAGAGAACGAAAACGAATATCCAGAGATTTAACCAGGCTGGTGGATATAGAGGATGAACCTAGGGGGGTTGGGAAACCCTCATTCCAAACCAATAGTGCACATGGCCTCCAGGATCCTGAGAGAACAATTGGTGTATGAACCTATTGTTGGCCACCGTCTACCATGTGACTGCATCTCGTGACGTTGCTCCACTGCCATGTGGAACAGACCTTTAAGTCAAGGGCTATGAGTGTGACTCCCTAAGAAAAACAACTACTTCTGTTTCGGCACCTGTGCAATATCCCAGACCTAACAAAAATCGAATGATGAAATGTGGCATATATATATATATATATATATATATATATATATATATATATATATACATATATATATATATATTAGGTGCCTTATTGTACCGATTTTTATGTGCGTAAATAAACAAATAAGATTTTGAGATGGAGATTTGTAGCTAATGTGGATGATTTTGATGGAATTTTTTTCTCTGAGATGGATGGTTTGATCGTGGAGCATCACGTTTGTGCCGATGATGTCATTCATAAAAACGATGAAGGCTCCACGACCAAATCATCCAGCTCAGAGAACAAAACTCGAACAAAATAATAAGATTACCAATGAACATCTAACAACAACTCAATACAAATACAATAAGTAGTTGATAATCTAAAACCATATGAAATTGAACAACATAAAAATCAATTAGATCAAAGTTAACACAGTAAACTTTAACTAAGAGACAAAATTTACATATTAACAGTACTCTTTGTTTCTTTTTATTTAAAAAGATTAGTATTTTCTATGCCAACCTATGAATCATGCATTTCTATATGCAAATTACTATTCATTTTGATTTAGCTCATAAAAAGGGTGAACTGGTTATTCTAATTCGTGTGAAACAATAAATGTATAAGACCTAAGTGTACTAACATCTACTGCCAATTATGTGAAATATTTGTTTACATAAAATGAAGGTAATGATCACACATATCTTAAACTCCGAGGTAAAATGATTAAACACAAATTATCCCCGAAAACCCCGATCGTTGCTGCTACTTCGACGTGATGGTCGGGTTTGCCTATAGTGATGAACCAATCGAGCTATACTGGCTAAAACAATCGTTCCTCAACGACCTACCATGCCAGACAGGTCGGTTGAATAACGGTAAGACTAAAAGCAGGAAACTCAATGTCCGAAGGCGAAGTTGTACTGCTGACTGCACAGAGGTGTAACAGCAGTAAGGTATTTCCTTAAGACAACCAGCATAGCAATGGTGCTGCCTTCTCACAAGGAGGAATGGGATTAGAAAAGGTCGACCCTAAAAATTCACACCTCGCCTTATCCCACGGATATCCGTCTCCGGCGTTAAGATCTCAACAAGTACAGAGCTAACACGAAAATTACTCATAAAAAGGTTGTGTGTGACCAACCTCAAGCAGTTGTTCCTTCGGCACTGCGGTCACGCTCTCAGGTCACTAAGACCACCTTTAATCCAATTTCCTTTTCAGGAACCTCCAGAAGAACCTTCCCGGTGTGGACGACCGGGAACTGATAAACACCCTCATACCTCTAACAGCACTCAAGACCACTGTATCCCTGAAAACAGTAGTAATAGCATTCAAGACTTAATATTAGTTGCATAAAACAGCTTAATGCGTACCATTCTAACCAATATTAAATAGGATATACATGATAATTATTTGTACAAAACAGTATAAATTCTAATAAGAAGGCTTTCATTGGTGAAATTACTTATATTAATGAATACGTGTTTATCTATGATGGTTTAATGCTTATCAACTCACAAAACTATTGCATTTAAAATGAGATACTTAACAGAGATATTGGATTGAAAATAAAACTTAATATAATTAATAGATCAAAAATTCAGATAGGTGAATACAGAAATAACAACATTAAGTCAACTACAAATGAGTAGTAACTCAATGGTGACAACTCATCTCTTATTTTGGCATGAGTTCAGACTTCACAACGAGAGAATCGGCGAGACTACAATTTATGGACGAACCAATCAGGTATAAGATTATAGGTCTTGGATTTTGGCACGAAATTCACTGATTTATTTGGCTAAATAGCATTTTGGCATTATAGCTGATGTCAATTCGTGATGAAAACCCTAAATCTAGTTTCTAACCTTAATCACCAACTGTAAATCATAATCTTTATTCCTCACACTAGTTTATAACCCCCCATTTAGTACAGGTGGACCCTATCAAGGTCAGTTTGGCATCGTTCAAAGTTCGTCCATAAACTATATTCTCACCTTCTAGCCATTTTAAAACTAATCAAAGAGGATTATATTCTCAAATGTATACACTATTATTCCCTGCATATAGACTTTTATTACTGTAGTTATAATAATGTGAAAGGGTCAACTATCTAACTAAAATGAATGACTATAAATCAATATAGTGTATTGGAAACACAACTGTATATTCTCTGAATATTTATGTCATTCTGATAGTAAATTTCCATTCTTTAATTTGACTTTAGTTTCAAAATGTGTTGAAGAATACAACAACTGCAAAATATAGCACAACTAAGCAATACTCAAGAGAACTTGATTTACGGTCAACTTTTTATAATGAACCAGTAAAGTAAGTATATAATAATGGCTTAGAACAGTTCATAATGACGCAGACACATTCACTCATTGTCTTCTAGATTTGAAGTTCCAATCTTCGTTCATACATACTTATTCTTTCCTCATTCTCAAACCATATTGTTAATGTTTAGTGTTTCTTGTTAACTTTTTCGCTACATTATTTCGATACTTTTCTAATCACCATGTTAATTTTATTTTGTCCCCCTAAGGTTCTACGTTTATTATGATTGACAGGGAGTAAAATGGCTAGTAGTAAGAACAGAAAATTACAAAGTGAAGAAGGAATCCAATTATAAACACGGTGCTTTTGAATGGTGAGAGACGTGTCTGTGTAGTTGTCACTCCTCTGGTGACGATAAAATAAAAATACACCTCTTCTTGGAGGCTATTTCTCAGTTTTAGCGGCCTGTTAGAATATCTGGGCTACCTGTTCCTGCCATCTAGATATTTCAACAACTTATCGGTTTTTTGCTTGTTTTAACACAACATTATGTTCATTAACCACACAACCTATTATGTTCATGAAAAGTTTATCACATTTCGCTGTCCGACTTACAAAGAAGTACAATCAGAAATATCGTGGTGGCTGACAGCCAATATACATTGAAAAGAATGAGCATTTTTCGAATGTTGATTCTTGAATTGCTAACATCTATATGGTGATCACTCAATATTTATCGTCATGATTGATCAAAAAATTAGAAAAGGAACCTTTTTGAAATGCTTTGCGGTGAGAATTCTATATGGTACCAAGAATATAATATTGAATAAAGCCATATTAATAATAATAACAATAAAATAAACCGAATTAGTAGTGGTCTTTTGGGCCTAGGAGTGTGACTCTAGAGTCCATACAACAACTGCCTGAGGTCAGTTACACACGATCTAACCATCAGATACAGAAATCCAAGAAGTAAAGTGTACTGTATTTACAGCCTACCTTTTCTACCTTCTCCACCTTTCATCATAGCAAGATAGAATCGCCAAAGAAACACTGTATTACCGTGAAACCCCTGTAAGATCGGTAGTACAACTTCCCTCTCGAACCATGAATCTTACCGCTTTCCAACCTAGCTGTTTAACATGGTAGAAAGTATAAAAACAAATGTATTTGTTAACATAACCCCACTAGGTCATCATAGCCCCCAAATGCCCTGGTATGGCCGAGAATGGGGATAGTTCACTCACCCTCTCCAAATGCTCTCACATAACCACGCGCATATAGTCTCTGCCAGGGAAGTCATACTCACTGCCTTCTCGTACTACGGGTGTTGTTTACGAAATCGAGAGGACGAAAAGCGAATGTCCAGCGCTTTAACCGGGTTGGTCGACACGGAGAGTTCATCTAGGGAGTTGGATACCATGACTCCCAACCAATGGTGCAGATAGGATCCAGGATCCTGAAGGAACAAATGGCGTATGAACCAATCGTTGGTCACCGGCTACCATGGGACTACATCTCCTCACGATGCTCCACTGCCTTGTGGATCAGACCTTTAAGTCGAAGGCTCTGGATGTGGCCCCCTAAAACAACCACCTGGTTTGGTTTGGGCACCCGTGCAGTATCACAGCCCTCACACAAATCAAATGAAATTTGTGTGGCGCATATATGATTTGGTGCCTCCTTGTACCAATATCTATGCGTTCAAATAATAATAATAATAAATAATAGGTCATCATAACAATCAAACCTGACCATTGAAATTAAAGTAGCAGCTACAAAATTCATTTCCCAATAAACATCGAAAAATATCTATTTAAAAGAAGTACTAAACAACAAACCGTATATGTAAACAAAAACAAAATATAGGAAAAAAAAAAGGAACATTAACTAAATATATAATTTATTTATCTTTATATTGTAAGATAAAGCTGTTCTAAAGAAGTACAGAAGAAAAAACAAACAAACAAACAACCCAGTTACAATTAATGAATATAATAAGCAGATAAGATGCAAATTAAAAAATTATACATTTAAGGGTAAAATAATGATGTAACTAAATAATTAAAGAAAAAAAAAGAAAACAACAAGGATTACATAAGTTGTATATCATCTTCATTACACTACATGTATAGAGAAGATGTATATGTGTAGAATTTAATTGTTCATCTGTATTCAACACACGCACATACACACGAACGAACAAACAAACAAATCATCTTTCCTTTTTTGTTATAGGCAAGTAAATATATTAGCTAAATTAGCTGGTGAAGAGGTTTTGCTGTAAACACAGTAATAAGTAATACAGCACAAAAAGAAAACGACGATAATAATAATAATTATTACTATTATAATTATAATAAGGATAAACAGTATGCATAAAGTAAGAGTACAGGATCTTCTTTTTTTTTGAAGTGTCAATCAGAATAAGAAACCAAGTGACATATGAAAATAAAAGTAAATATTCATATCCTTTATCATGTTAATAATAATAATAATAATAATAATAACAGCAGTTGGTGTACAAATGAGCTAATACTCTTGCCAATCTGAATGTGAGAATACCTAAGTATCAATGCCTAAAATGGCATAGATACAAACATAAGCACGTGCATACTTGCACACACACACACGTACAAACACATGCCACTTGATATGGAAGAGAAACAAAAAGCAAACAAACAAACAAATAAATGTTGTTTTTAAAAGTTAAAAGTACTGAAAGGAGACTATTACTGACGTTGAAAACCACAAGATAGGGAACGAGGTGAACAAACGCAGACGTGATTCAATCACAAGAAATTAGCTGAAACAAAAAAGGCGTGTAAAAATAACGAAATTGGTCGTCATTAATATAAACAAATTAATATATTATTACTAAGCGGATTTGCGAGGAGACTATTGGATTTTATACCTTAACATCATAGATTATTTTTAGTTAGGAAGTATTGGAAAGTTGGTTAGTATTAGTATAGTCCTACTCACTGCCTTCTCACACCACGGGTGTTCTTTACGAAAATGAGAGGACGAAAAGCGAATGTCCGGCGCTTTAACCGGATTCCAAATCAATGCTGCACATGGGATCCAGTATCCTGAAGGAACAAATGGTGTATGAACCAACCGTTGGTCACCGGTTACCATGAGACTGCACCTCCTTACGATGCTCCACTGCCTTGTGGGTCAGACGTTCAGGTCGAAGGCTCGGGGTGTGGTCCTCTAAGAAAACCACCTGCTTCGGTTTGGGCGCCCGGGCAGTATCACAGCCTTCACACAAATCAATTGAGATTCGTGTAGCGCATATGTATTTGGTGCCTCCTTGTACCAATACCTATGTGTTAAAATAAATAAATAAATAAATTAGTATAAGACACCTTAACAGTATACATCAAAGATAACACTATGGATTGAGTCCACAGTTATCAGGTCTTGCGGAGACTGTCTAACATTTAGACCATTGAGTTGGCATCTAAGAGGTTTAGATGTTTAAGCTCAACCAAACTTCAATCGCGTTGGTAGGTAAAGAACTGTCTCATAGACAATATGGCTAAACTACATTGGTCACGGGATTGCACTACAAGTACAGGAGAATTTTCTTTTCAACGAAATCATTTACTTAAGCCAAATTCCCTTTATTTACATTAGATGACATAATAAGTTACTTTAATCATCTGAAGAACTCTAGGAAGTACTCTAAACAAAAAACATGTAATAGTCCACATGTATACACTGTCATGTTAAATGTGGTTTAATATACTCAGAACGATAAATAGGCTAAATAACATCTTTAAACAAAAGTTATGGCGGCGACCGTGTTTAAAAGTACTTTTAATCATCAGACTGTTGTTTTAAACTCGATTCAATCGATTTGCGTTTAGGATATTAAGCAACAGCTGACAGACGAACCAGTGTCCCCCAAATAAAATTGTGCTTTACAGTTAAACAACAGTTGTAAACTTGTGTATTAATTAAAGCATATCGCTGAACTATATATGTATGCAATAATTACCGGATTTGTTTAACATCGATCACTTGTTGGATTTTGTTTTAACAATGTAGTCCGTTCCTCTTCACGACGACGTTTAGCTTGAGTACGTTCATAAATCAATATTATAATACCAAGTACCACCAATTCAGCTATAATCCCAATGAAAGGCCATAAAGGAGCCAATTTACCTGTGAAATTTGAAAAAGATAAAATTGAAATGATAATTGTAGAAGAGGATAAAACGGTACTACTACTACTACTACTACTACTACTACAATCAATACTATTCAGTTCATCGGTTTTGTGTTGAATCAATAGTCCGAAATCAGTCAACCATCTACAACGTACAACCAGGCACATATATGTATCAGTCCAAGTTGCCATATCTAATAAGCACGACAATATGTACACCGAATTCATAGAAGCAGTTACTTTAATGCTAGAAATATATATAAATAAACATTGCATACAAGGATATAATACAGGAAGAAAGAATTAGTTCATAGAAAGATAGGTATAAAGTAATTTTAATCTCACGGTTTAAGAGGAAACAACTAGTGTATACACCTACACCATTGTGATCGATTCTGAGCCATGTCATCCAGAGTCTCCATCACATCTTATACAGTGAGTATTGGACAAATATAATTGACAATATATCCTTGGCAAGTTATGTATCGTTAAAATGAACAGAAAAATTATTCATATTGAAAAGTGTACACTTTTTTAGACTTGAAAATGAATTCTATTTCAAGTGCTTTCTATACAATTTAAGGCATAATCTGTATAGAATATATATATATATATATATATATATATATATATATATATATATATATATAAATTGAAAATGTTTAAATCAGTCAATTCTTACTTTTGATACGAACTTCCAACAATAAACTGTCTGATCCTAATGTTGATGTTGCTGTGCACATATAAAATCCAGTAGCATCTGAAGCATCAGTCCATTCCATAATAGCATCTTTAGTGCTCTCATGTGGTTTGAACATAGCCTGAAGAATAAAATAACATTTCAACAAAGTATGAAAAATTACTAAACATTACAAACCACAATGATAACAACAAAGATAGTTTGCATTGAACGACAACAAAATTCTAACTATTCCACAAATCTTTATTCATTATGATTCTCATCTTACTTCTTCACCAAATGGAGAAACTTTTCTTTAAATTAACACAAGTATAAAAATAATAAAATGAGAAATTGAGAACAAATATACATATTTTTTAAAGGCCATCCAATGCTTCCATATTTTCGATGGTGATCTAACATCGATCGGTTCATGACTTCAATAATAACTCAACAATCTCCGCAACACTATGCTGATTGTAAATATTAGTCGATTGATAGTAATGGTCTAGAGTTTCAAGATATCAATGTCCACAATTGTTGACGAGTCCCGAACAGGACGAAACGCCCCTCTTATATTTTCCTTTCTAGCCACCATCCATTTCTGTTTATAATACTTGTGGCTTAAAGCAATATCGAAGCAACCCACACAGGATGCACATACTCCAAAAGAGACTGATTAATGGCAGTCCCAAACATTAATGGGAGGATTCGAACAACAAATATAAATGAATACAGGATATAGTTCAAAAAGGTGTCTGTCAACATAAGTACTATGTAACATCAATTAGAAGTGAAATGCCTAGCAGCAGATGATTGAGAAGATCGAATTGAGGAGAACAGGAATATAAACAGAGAGTAATTGTAATAACAATAGGAATGGGGGAACCACAAGGTTTGTAAGAGACAACTGATGGTAGATGTACAAATGAAGTATGTATAGTTTTCATGTTTTACGAAGACATTCCGTAATTTTGTGTTAAACAATAAACTGTCTTCCCCACCTGACTGTTTCTTCACTACACTACCACTAGCATAAACTGAAACTATCTCGTTCATGGATAAAATTCATTCTTAAGAGTACACAATTACAAAGAGAAGGTTCATTTTCTAAATATTATGGTAATGTCTACATGAATGAATTAGAAAGTAACTCAATGAGTCAATAAATACATAAAATTGTGTTTCTGTTGGTATGAAGTCATAGCACTTTTAAATTAAGTTAATTCCTCGTAACTCCACAACTAAATACAAATGTGTTAATGATTAACATCACAAAGCCAAATTTAGAGGATTGAAGATAAAAGGGTATAATCTAGCTTACTTTCTACCTCAATAAAATCTAAGAATTGGAAAGTGATAAGAAT